ATCATTTTGCGATCCTCCACAAAAGAAATTATTGTGTAATCCTCTACAAAAGGAATCCCTTTGTAATCCGCCACAAAAGAAAACAATGTGTAGTTCACAACAAAAAGATTCCCTTTGTAATTCAACAACAAAAGAATCAATGTGTAATCCGCTTATGTTTGTTTCGGGCCTCCGGAGGCCGGAGAATCGAGAGATTAAGGCTTAAGATATCCCTCTGGGACGCGCTTCGGCGCTCACCCGCTGGAAGTAACAGGGGCGAGGAGGAACAGACGGAGGTGGAGGCGGAGGGGGAGGAGGAGGAGGAAGAAGGGGCAAGAGAGGATAACTCATGTAACTCGCTATGGGTGCCTAGCCCCAGGGAGTTAATCCCTTAGTCTGGTGGGCTGTGCTTCCCAACCGATTGTGCCCTGTGAAGCTCATTATGACAATGCGTTGCTCCAAACGCATCTCGTCATCACCATCACCAGCAGCAACATCTTGAAACACATACTCGTCATGACCATCGTCATCAGCAGAATATTGAACACACATAGTCGTCGTCATCATCATCGTCATCAGCAGCATATTGAAACTCATGCTCGCCGTCACCATCGTCATCAGCAGCATCTTGAAACACATACTCGTCATCATCACCATCGTCATCAGCAGCATCTTGAAACACATACTCGTCATCATCATCATCATCGTCATCAGCAGCATATTGAAACACATGCTCGTCATCACCATCGTCATCAGCAGCATCTTGAAACACATGCTCGTCATCACCATCGTCATCATCAGCATCTTGAAACACATGCTCGTCATCACCATCGTCATCAGCATCATCTTGAAACAAATCCTCGTCATCGTCATCGTCATCAGCAGCATCTTGAAACACATGCTCTTCATCACCATCGTCATCAGCAGCATCTTGAAACACATGCTCGTCATCACCACTGTCATCAGCAGCATCTTGAAACAAATACTCGTCATCACCATCGTCATCAGCAGCGTCTTGAAACACATACTCGTCAACATCATCATCATCATCATCAGCAGCAGCAGCAGCATCTTGAAACACGTACATGTCATCACCATCGTCAACAGCAGTGGCCTTCGGAACCCCTTGCGAAGCATAATCGTTATCAACATTGTCATACCTGCCAGCAGATTCTATGTGTAAATTATCACATAAGGATTTGTGTTGTTACCCGCTGCAAAACAGATAATATTGTAAGTCGCTCGTGTTTGTTTCGGGCCTCCGGAGGCCGGAGAATCGAGGGACTAAGGCTTAAGATGTCCCTGTGGAACGCGCTTCGGCGCTCACCCACTGGAAGTAAGAGAGGTGAGGAGGAAGAGACGGAGGTGGAGGCGGAGGAGGAGGAGGAGGAAGAGGAGGACGGAGGAGAGGAGGGCTTATGGAACCCGCTATGGGTGCCTAGACCCAGGGGGTTATTCCCTTAGTCTGGTGGGCTGCGCTTCCCGATGATGCCCTGTGAGGCCCATTATGATAATGGATTGTCCTCAACGCATACCAGAAGATTCGTTGACGCTCATTTCTGCTACTCGCGACCTGCCCCTGGCAGGAGAAGATCTGGGGGATCCCAGGGTGATGTCGAAACCGCCATCTCCGAGGATAGGGCGGGGGCACGACAGGAAAGGGCAGCATGTTGAAACACATGCTCGTCACCACCATCATCATCAGCAACATCTTGAAACACGTACTTGTCATCACCATCATCGTTTTCAGCAACATCTTGAAACACATGCTCGTCATCATCATCGTCATCATCAGCATCTTGAAACACATACTCGTCATCATCATCGCCATCAGCAGCATCTTGAAACACATACTCGTCATCAGTAGCATCTTGAAACACATACTCGTCATCATCATCGTATGTGTGTTGTTCCATGTGGGAGGATATCATGTTAAATTCTCAACTCGGGTACTCTCTTCCGTAGCTGGTTCGAGGCTCAATGATGCCGATGATGATGATGATGATGATGATGATGATGATGATGATGATGATGATGATGATGATGATGATGATGATGATGCTGGTGATGGCAATGCAACGCAGCAAAACGAGGTGGTACGCACACACGGTTTTGTCAACTCCACGGGTAAGGGGGGGGGCAATGGCATCAGCATTGGGGGTGGGAGGGTGGGGCCCAAGCCCTGGACCATATATTATGATTGTCCCGAACTGGAACCATGTGTGTTGTACGTGTCCAGGCCGCCCAAGGGGGGATATCCAACATGGCGTCGGGCCCGACGCCGAATTAGCAGAAAACGTAGAGGGGGGCCGAACAGCGCTACTCGAACACATGTCCCAATACAGAGAAACTGTGTTTTCTGACTCTGGACAGGGGGTTGCGCTTTTGGGGACCTCTCCAGGGAAGACATTGCGAGGATGTCTCGAGCGGGAGCGCGGATTCAGCGTATCCAAGTCACGCAGGGAGGTATCTAGCATGGCTGTCCCGAGCTGGCACCACGTATTTGTTTCATGCCCAGGCCACCCAAGGAGATCTCTCACATGATTGTCCCGAGCTGGTACCACGTGGTTTACGTGTCCAGGCCACCCACGGGGGTAACTAACATGGTTGTCCCGAGCTGGCACCACCTGTTTTTACGTGTCGCGGTGCGTCCCCGTGGCGCATCCCCTGGCACGTCGCCTGGCATGTCCCCCTGTCAATTACCTCTGGGGCAGCTACTACGTGGACTACGTTCTCAGGCAGCTCGAGCTTAAGATCCAGATCAGTTCGGTCAGGCCTCGGATGCAAAGGAGGACTCGATCCATAACGCTATAGAGCGCAATCGCGGCAGGGCACATCGCAGTTCAGCACGGCGCAGCACAGCAGAGCCCTCGGCACGGTACGTCACGATCGACACACTCACTCAGCATTGCAACCTGGCGCGTTCCTTGGCACGTTCCGTGGCGCGTCCTGTGGCGAGTCCCCCTGGCACGTCGCGGGCCGCGTCCCCTGGCACGTCCCGTGGCACGTCCGTTGGCACGTTCCGAAGCGCGTCCCATTGGCACGTCCCGCGGTGCGTCCCCATGGCACGTCCCCTGGCGCGTCCCTTGGAACGTTCCGCGGCGCGTCTTCCTGGCATGTTCCCCTGTCAATTAGCTCTGGGGCAGCTACTATGTTCTCAGGCAGCTCGAGCTTAAGATCCAGATCAGTTCGGTCAGGCCTCGGATGCAAAGGAGGACTCGATCCACAACGCTATAGAGCACAATCGCGGCATGGCACATCGCAGTTCAGCACGGCGCAGCACAGCGCAGCACTCGGCACGGTACATCAAGATCGATACACTCAGCATTTCAGGTGTCTTTGAAACGTTGCCATGTCTTACATTTCTGTATTCCTTTCCGGGTTCGTTCTTGCGTGATTTGTGTGGTTCTGCTGTTTCGGCTTCCCGACGCTCCAGGACGACCCAAGAGGCCCCCCAAATGGCCCCAACAAAAATCCAAGAGGCCTCGAAAAAAAGGCCCCACAAGAGCCCAAGTGGGCCCCAAGACGGCCGAAGAGGTCTCCAAGGCGGCCCAATAGAGGCCCGTTCGACTTATCGGATGCACGCAGACGGAGAGACAGAAGCGTGTCAACAAACACAAAGGCACAAAGCAAACAAGAGTCCATGACCTTCTGTGGGGTCGGCGGCAGAGGCGGCAGCCTGTAGATAAATAGACACAAGCCCCAGGATTCCTTTCATTCTCCATATTTTCTGGGTTGCCGTCTTCCCCCCAATTCTCATATGTTCTCGTGTGTTCCTGGGGACCGACGACTCGTGGTGTCTGTGTGTGTTTTCCCCCCTCCTGGCATGTGTTCTGCTCGTGGTGCCTGCCGCCCGTGATGCCGAACCGTATGTCTTTGCGTGGGTCCCTCGAGCCTGCGAGCCAACACCGTTGCATTGTACGCGCGCTGCTTCCGCCAATGATCGGGGAGACGTAAGACCTGGGTACGGGGGACTCGGAAATCCCCGACGAGGTCGTCAAAAAAATGACGAGGCCGAGCCTGCATTTTGACGAGGCTTCCCGCTGCAGACATCCCACAAAACTCCTCCTCGTCAAAATCCGAGTCGCGGTCGTCAAAAAACGATGGCGAACCCGAGTCCCGGCAAACCCGGGTCTTACGCTCCCCCGAAATGAGCGTAAACCGTGTGCTTGTTACACGGGTCCCTTTCGCCCACGAGCTCAGACCAGATGCTTCTGCATGGGTTCTTGTCGCCCCTGAGCCAAACCCATGTGTTTCACATAGATTCCTGTCGCCCGTGAGCGCAATCCATGTGTGTTTACATGGGCTCCTTTCGCCAGTGAACCAAGACCATGTGCTTTTATATGGGCATGTTTCGCTCCTGAGCCAAAACGGTTTCGGCTCGTCCTGATGCAGATCGGAATGTTTCAGTTCTCCGCGTTTCGGTCTGTCCATTCACCGTGCGTTTCGCGTTGGTTCGGGTTCGCCCCCTCTTTGTTCGTCCCGCTTCGGAATTGAATCGGACCTTGAATACGAGCTGGTCGAGCGCCCCGCGCGCTCTGACTTCAACCAGCACGAGCTGTTCGTTCAGGCATCTCGAACTTGAGATCGAGCCGGTCCGGCCATGATCCTCGCGCCAATGACGACCTCATCCACAGGGCGAAAGATCACAGCACGGCGCAACGCAGCATGGCGCACTTCAGAAGTTTACCACGGCACAACACGGCACAGCCCCCCCACTCTTCACCACCCGACATCTTCCGAACTGCCACTGCCCGTCGCACACCTCGGGCGCCAGGACGACACTCCCGAGCGCCCCAGTCCTGCACCCCCCCCTCTGGGCTAGTGGGTCGACCGCGCTCTCCCTCCGCGGAGGAGGAGGAGGAGGAGGAGGAGGAAGAGGAGGAGGAGGAGGAGGGGGAGGGGGAGGGGGAGGAGGAGGGGGGGGAGGAGGAGGAGGAGGAGGAGGAGGAGGAGGAGGAGGAGGAGGAGGAGGAGGAGGGAGGGAGGAGGAGGAGGAGGAGGAGGCCCTCGGCCCCGTCCTCGGAGCCCTCCTGCCTGATCGCGAAGTAGCGCCGCAGCCCGCCCGCCCGCCCCAGGGGCCGCCGCAGGGCGGCGCCCGCCCCCGCGCGGCTCGGGGAGAGGCCCTTCTCGAGCTCGTCGGCGGCGTCGAAGGCCTCGGACCGCCACGGCGGCTCGGCGCCGGGGGCCTCTCGAGGGCTCGCTCTCCGGTGCAGAAGCCGAGCCTCCAGTGATCGGCTGGCGGCTGTGCCTCGATGCCGAGGCCTGTGGCCTGCCGTCGGGCCCCAGGGCCATCAGACGAGGATCCCGGGCGATATATATATATACACACATATATACACACATATATACATATATAAATCTATACATATATGTGTATGTATGTATGTATGTATGTATATATATATATATACACGTCGTTCATTTCTAATCGTGGTCATTTCTAAGTGTGCTCGTTTCTGACTGTTCCTGCCCCCTAGTGGCCAGGAAGAGGCCCAGGATAGAACAATTCGAAATGAAAGGATCTTCGCCCCCAAAAAAATCAAAGAACCTCCGAACAATTAGAAATGAACACTGTGTAGTGCTCCCGGGGAGGCGATCAGGACCTGTGGAAGCCCGAACGGAACATAACATTGGGGGGGACAAACGAGGGGGTGAAGAACGGTGCAGCTTTCGTCCACCTTCGGGGCACAAGGCAGGCCTCTTTTCGATAGGGCTCCATGGCTCTTGTTTTCCGTTCCTGCAGCCCTTGATACCGCGCCCACATGCCCTAGACCCCCGAAGTCTTGATTTTTCCAGATCGTTGACCCCCAGAGGTCTCGACCCATCCCCTGGACTGGCTTTTTGCCTCGAGCCGTTTGTCGACGGCCCAGGGGCTGGGCAAGGGCCCGTGGAGGCTGACACGAGCGAAAAACCTTGCGTCTCGTTCTTGTTCACGCCGCAAGAGGGGTCTGGGTGCATGGTTTCCCCCCGTGGGCGACCCTAGGAGGGGGAGGAGGAGGAGGAGGAGGAGGAGGAGGAGGAGGAGGAGGAGGAGGAGGAGGGGAGGAGGATGAGGAGGAGGAGGAGAAGGAGGGTGGAGGAGAGGGAGGGGGAGGAGGAGATGGGAGCAGGAGGAGGGAGGAGGGAGGAGGGAGGAGGGAGGAGGAGGAGGAGGAGGAGGAGGAGGAGGAGGAGGAGGAGGAGGAGGAGGAGGAGGACGGGTCGCCTAAGACGTTCGGAGAAACCCTCCATCCTGTTCACGCCGCGAGGGGGTCTGGGTTCGGTGCCCCTCCCCTGCAGTGGCAGCCTCGGCGACACGCTGTGCCCTGCGAGCGGATGTCGGGGAGACGTAAGACTCGGGTACGCGGACTCGGGTTAGCCTCGCAGGGCCATCATAAAAATGACGAGACCCAATTTGAAATTTGACGCGAACTCCTGTTGCCAACATCCCACGAACACTGGACCGTCAAAATCCAAGACGCGCTCGTCAAAAAACGTCGGAAAACCAGAGTTCCAGCATACTCGAGTCTTTCCTACGTTTCCCCGAGGATACCGTGCTGCTCCGCTCCGCGGGGCGGGAGGCTCGGAAAGGGTCGAGACCTCGAAGCCTGGGAACTGGGAAGTGGATGGCGTGTCGCGCCGAGGCGCCGTGGCCCAGAACCAGCAGCGCGACACGCTGCAGCTAGAATTCCGGCTAAAAACTTTCGGAGGTCCGCGCAGAATTCCCGGGTCGTCGCTGGAGCTCCCTCCCTGGCGCGCGGAGCGCGCCTGGGGCGGCGCCCGAGGCGCCGCCATGGGCGCCCGGCGCCGATCCAAGAAACCGGCGCAGATCCCAGAAATCCAGGACATGCTCATGCATCGTTGTTTGGTTCCTTGAAATCCGACGGTGCGAATCCGCTCCACGACCGTCTCGTTGCCCCGTTGCGAGGCGCCCGAGGCCTCGTCCGCGGCGGCGCCGCTTCCGCCGCTGGCCTCGGCGGCCTTGGGCTCCGCCTGGTGGTCCCGCCGGGCGAGGAACGGCAGGGAGGGCAAGAAGTCGGCGAGAGGGAAGCCGTCGTCCTCCGGCTCCACGGGGGGGTGGCCAAGGCCCGCCCCTCTGAGATCTGGGCGCTGCGACTTTTGTGTCGCACCGGAGGTGTTCGCTCAGCTTCGGGCCCCTGGACCATCACAGGTCGGGGCGGCGCGGGATATGCAGCAAAAAGATGGGGTCTAGGGCTCTCGTCGTGATCTCAGGGTCCCCGTTCCCCCTGTACCTGCCAATTCCTCTTAACTCCTCTTCCTCCAACCCCTCCTCCTCCTCCTCCTCCTCCTCCTCCTCCTCCTCCATTCGTTTTCCTTCTGAACAGCTCCTCCCTGTCGTACCCCCAAACGTGTCTGTAGGGCGGGCTGGGCGTTTCGCCTGACACCCCTCGCCACTTATGATGCTGAAGCGTGTACTTCGGTACAGGCTTCCGGATGCAGGGCGGGTGGTTTCCAAAATGTGGCTCCCGCCCCAGCGCCGCACAAATTCGCCTTGAAAGTTGGAACCATGCCGCAGATAGAGGGCAGGTCGTTTTCAAAATATGGCTCTCGCCTTAGCGCCGCGCACGTTCGCCTCAAACATCTGCAGCAGTTTCACGCCTTGAGGGCGGTTCCTTTTCCACGTGTGACTCTCGCCCAAGCGCTGCGCATTATGTGTAACTGTTTCATGGGTGAACGGCGGTTCCTTTTCAAAATGTGGCTCTCGCCTTAGTGCCGCGCGCTTTCGTTTTCAAAGTTTGCAAATACTTCGAGGATGTATTGATGACCCTTTTCATTACGTGACTCTTGCCTTAGCGCCGAGCACCTTCGTTCTAACATTCTGCAATCGATTCAAGGATTTGTATGGTCGAAGTTCCAGATACTGTTCTGGCACGACTTGAGATCGTCAGGACGCAGCAGTCAGGTTGATTCGCCGTCTTGAATTTCGAGGACTGGGTTTCTGGCGCAACTTAGGACTGCCATGACGATGAAGAATATTGGCCCGTGGCGTTGACGTCCCAGGAACGGTGTTATGGCGCGATTTCCGATTCCCAAATTGTTGTTTTCTAATGGGCCACTTCTGTTAATGAAACCACATTCTTTTGGAAACATATGCGGAAATGAAGCTTAGAGGGAGGGTTTACTGCAGCATCGTTGATGCATTTTGAATTACACTGGTCCGCCTCGTGCTCCTCCTCCTCTTCCTCCTCCTCGTCTTCCCATCCCCCTCTCCTCATCCTCATCCCCTTCCTTCTTGTCCCCGGTTCCTCACCGAATGAAAAGTCTCGCTCCGCTGCCTCATGGCCCTGCCCTGGCCCTGGCCGCCTCAACCTTCAACCCGCCGCTGGCGGAGCTCTCTCGCTCAGGAAGAGGAAGGGATGAGCAATAGCTACCAATGGAGTTACGAAGGGGGGGGGGACAAGGAGGAAGAGGAGAAGGAGCATGCGGGGGAGGATGAGCAACAGCAGCAGCGAAGGAGGACGTGGAGCAAGATGAGGATGATGAGGAGCAGTAGTCCCACCAGGCCTTTAGGGCGTTGGTGTAGAGCGCTTCCTCTTCCTACACCCTCTTTCGGGGAGGGCTGTATTGTTCCGTAATACGTGCATGTGCACCCTCTCCCCCAGCCAATTGGCAAAGTGAGGTGCACTTTTCACCAAAATCTGGAGCATGCGCGGACGCCCCGCCATCACGGTGCACTCGGCTTTGACAGGGACGGCGGAGGGGCTGGCAAATTGCCTTCTGTGTGCAATGCCCCCCCCCCACCATCCCCTGCGAAAACCATACAACGTGCACTTCGCACCAACATCTGCATCATGCGTGGACGCCCCGCTATCACTTTGCATTGTTTGTTTGCCATCACGGCGAGGGGAGGGGGACCTATTGCATGCTGTGTGCAACGCCAGCACCCCCCAACCATTTCTTGCAACAGAAATAAATAATGCACTGGGTCTACTTTTCCTGTCGAAAACATGTTTAGAGACATTGTGGGTGCACGCCCACTCACAATACACAATGCTCACGGACCCGCCGTCAGTGTGTATGGTGCTTGACAGGGATGGAGGGGTGGTCGACCTATTGCCCACTGTGGCGCACCTCGCGGGCATCGCGCACCTCCCTTCTTCTGCACTGGTTCCCGATGGTTGTCGATGCCCTAAGGTTTTTGGACAAGTTTGGCCTCTGGGGGGTGGGGCCCTTGTCAGGACCCCCCCCCTTCTTTGATCGATAGCCTCCCAGATGGACCCAAGACGGCCCGCAGAACCCTCAAGAGATCCCTGAGAGGCCCCTGAGGGGCCTCAAGAAGCCCCCGAGAAACACACCTAAAGCGCTCCACGACGTCCCCCAAGAGCAGGCAAGAGGCCCCCAGGACGCCCCAAGATGGCTCTCGAGGGCCGCCCTCAAGAGACACCCCAGGAGGGCCAAGGAGGCATCCTAGGGGCCTCTGGCCCACACGGCCCCCCGCTTCCCCAAAATGATGACACGCTCCTCCGCTCGGCCTCGTGTCTGGATGGGCTGGCGGGGATGCGCGAAGCGTGAACAACTACCAAAGGAGGGCGCAAAAGACGAGGAGGAGGAGGCAGATGTAAAAGCAGAAGCCGTCGGGGTTGGCCGTGCTGGTCTGGCTCGAGCTTGCGTGTGCCCCCTCCGTGGGAGCTGGAGCCGGGCCACTTGGGCTACTGTCCGGGCAGCCCACGGCACGCCGTGGGCGAGGAGGAGGAGAAGTGCCAGAGGCACACCAGGGCTCGGATCCCGAAGCTTCCGCCCGCACCATGGACGACCCGCCCATCGGACACGTGCCAACCAGATATGCTCGAGCGCAAACCCACCCACTTCGCCTTGGTCACTCAACTGTGCATTGCTGTTCCTCCAGTTAGCCGCCGACTCGTGTACAACCTTCCATTGCAATTCAGATCCCGAAGCTTCCTTACCCTCCCCTTCCAGCGCCCTCGAAGGCCTTCTGAATCTTCCCAACTCAGATCACCACCCTTCCCTTGCAGCCTCCAGTCCAGTCCAGTCGCATCCTGGCTACAATCTACTCATGATCAAGCTTTTTGCCGGCCAACTCCTTCAGGATGCCCATGCCGCTTGGCGTGGTTGATGACGCTGCTCGTGATTAAGGGCAACATTTGGGGGGACCTGCTCAGGCGGGGAAACATTGAGCTGGAATCGGCGATACAACTCTTACAGAACGGCGACAGGCCCCCGATCGCAAATCCGCACGTCCCTGGCCGGGGTGGACCATCGGGCCTCTAGCGGCGACGAATGGCGATTAGGGGTCGGTGCATCCACCCCTGAGCCTATCACCCCCAACATTGCCCCTGAATGGTCCAGTGCTCTCACGAGGGACCCGCGAGAACGCGCACGCCTCTGCGCGCGCGCGCGCGTGTATGGAAAACGGGGCCGTGCAGCGTCCTGCCTCGGGCCGAAACAGTGAGAATGGCAGCGGCCCTCGATCGCAGCGGTGCACGCCATCGTCGCCGCGGCCGTCGGCAGGCCTGTCCTACGCCTGCCCGCGCGGAGTTCCAAAATGAATTCCTCCTCCTCCTTCCCTGCCCTCCTCCTCCTCCTCCTCCTCCTCCTCCTCCTCCTCCCTGTTGAGGGGCAACGACCTGGAATCGGCGATACCTCGCCGATGGATCGGCGATAGGCCCCCGATAGCGAATCCGCACGACCCTGGGAAGGCAGACGGTCGGGCACACGTCGGCAATCAGCGGGCGATTGGGAGGTCGATGCGTCCAACCCTGAGCCTCCCCCCCGCGAGCATTGCCCCTGAGCATGAAGCTCCAACAATGCCATGCCCATCGCCTCGGCAACCTTGCAGTCAGGACTTCGATGGCCTTTGCCTGCTGTCTCGGAGGTATCGTTCATCTCGGGCAGTCGAACGCAAACAATCCCACCAGCCCTGTGGGCGTAGGTGGTCTAGGGCGATTTCTCTTTCAACCTCCTTCTTCCTCTTCGGGGAAGGGTTTACCACGGTGCCATGTTTATAAACACCCCCATCCCCCAGGCGACTGGTAGCCAACCAGGAACCATGATGGGCCCCCCCCACCATCCCTTACAATACCATACAAACACACACTCTGCCTCCAAAATCGGAGCATGCGCAGCCAACCCGATGCGGCCTCACCCCATCATCCCTGTCAAAAACAATGTTAAGTACATGTGGCGGCGGCAGCAGCTGCGGCGGCTGCGGCGGCGGCGGCGGCGGCGGGGGCACCGGTGGCGGCGGCGGCGGCGGCGGCTGCGTTGGCGGCGGCGGCGGCGGCGGTGGCGGTGGCGGCAGCGGTTGTGGCGGCAGCGGCGGCGGCGATTTGGCAGCGGGGGCGCGGCGGCGGCGGCGGCGGGCGGCGCGGCGGCGCGGCGGCGACGGCGGCGGCGGCGCGGTGGCGGCGGCGGGCAGCGGCGGCGGCACCAACGGCGGCGGCGGCTGCGGCGGCGGCGACGGCGGCGGCGGCGGAAGCGGCGGCGGCGGCGGCGGATTGGCCCCCAGTAGCTGCCCATCCAAAGACCACTGCTGAATATGCTGCGGCTCGGGCAAGACTCGGGTGTTACTTATGTGTTGGGGGGGCGGGTGGGGGTGAGCGAAACGGCCTGCGGGCGGGGAGGGAGTCTTGATCACTGTTCCCTATGAAAATACACCCCTCCATGAAAATACACCCCCTCCCCCAGGCGACTGGGAGCAAACCCAAGTCCATACGGGCCCCCACCACCATCCCTTTGTAATAAAGACAATACGAACACACACTTTGCCCCCACCATCCCGTGCAACAAACCATGCAAAGCACACTCTGGCTCCAAATTCGGAGCATGCGCATCGAACCCGATGCGGCCTCACCCCATCATCCCCGACAAACACCAAATACAGAGTACACTTGGCGGCGGCGGCGGTTGCGGCGGCTGCGGCGGGGGCAGCGGCCGCGGCGGCTGCGGCGGTGGAGGCGGCGGTGGCGGCGGCAGGGGCGGGGGCGGCGGCGGCGGCGGGGGGCGGCGGCGGCGGCGGGCGGCGGCGGCGGCTTGCGGCGGCAGCGGTGGCGGCGATTTGGCAGCGGGGGCGGCGGCGGCGGCGGCGGCGGGCGGCGCGGGTGGCGGCGGCGGCGGCGGACAGCGGCGGCGGCGGCAACGGCGCGGCGGCGGCGGCGGCGGCGGCGGCGGGCGGCGGCGGCGGCGGCGGAGGCGGCGGAGGCGGCGGCGGCGGCGGCTTGGCCCCCAGTAGCTGGCCATCCAAAGACGACTGCTGCATATGCTGCGGCTCGGGCCAGGCTCGGGTGCTACGTAGATGTTGGGAGGGCGGATGGGAGTGAGCGACACGGCTTGCGGGCGGGGAGGGGGACTCTTGACCCTTCCCCCTACCCCATCCCCTGGACCTGGAGGGGGAGGGGTCGCGAGGCGTTGGAGCGTCCAGGATGGCCCAGTATGGCTCCAAGAGGACCTCAGAGACTCCAAGCTCCTAAGATGCTCCTAAGAGGCCCCAATGCCGCTCCAAGACGGCTCCAAGTGGCCACAGAACCTCCCCAGGAGGCCGCCAAGAGGCCAGAATCCTCCAAACTCCTGGGGGAAGTCAATGAATTCGGCCTTCCCGCTGTTTTGCTTTTGATGGCCTGTTCGAGGCCTCAAGATGGCTCCAAGAGGGCCTATGGGGGCCCCAAGAGAGGCGCAAGAGAGCGCCCAAGAGCGCCCCACGAGGGGTCCAAGAGACGAATTTAGGCACTCTAGAAGGGCAAGGCTAATTCAGTACCATCCTTGTTTGATCGATCTCCTCCAAAATGGCTCCAAAAGCGCCCCCAAGGCTCCCGAAAGCGCCCCACGAGGTCCCTCAAAAGGCGCCGAGTGGGCCCCAAGATGCCCCCAATAGACTCCCAAGAGACCCCCAAAAGGCCCCAAGAAGCTCCCCGAGGCACCCAAAACGCTTTGAGAGGCGCCCGGGACCGCCAAGATGCTCCCAAGACGCTCTTGGTACTCCTCCGCTTCCCTGATCGAGGCAGCTCGCCAGAGCATCGTTTCGGGATGGGCTGGTGGGGACGCGCGAAACGTCAAGGATTCTGGACCCGCCGTGGCACTGCCGTGCCGTCAGAATCGGTGGTTTCAGACTCATCTGCCGCAGCGGCCGTCTAGCCAGGCGCAGTGCGACGAACATACCACAACAAGTCACGAATTCATCTTACGCCGCGCATGACAAGCGACCCCTACGACAGCGGGTGGACGAGGGAAAAGCGGATCAGGAGAAGGAAAAAAGAACATCAATACGTGTTATGCAATGGATGGCGGGATGAATTTCCTGCCTCAACCTTGGGCGCACAACTTCTTACTATTCCGGACAGCAAGTTTGCGGCCGCCTCTCCCGATGAGGAGCCGGCTGGGCTTCTAGTCTCGTGGGGCTGACCACATGTCTAACAAATGTGTCACAGCGGTGAACTGAGCCAAACCCAGATTGTACAGTAATGGGTGTTACAAACGCTCGTCGCGTGCATCATGCTGGCCAATCGCCACCCTGGAATGAATCCGCTAATCGGTCCAGTGTCGTTGCAGCCCTAACAAATTATTGCGCCGAAGCCCACATGTTAACGATACTTCGCCGCTACGAAGGTTCGGCAAAAATTCAACGCCTCCCGTTAGGCTAATTACGGGGCCCCAATACAACGTTGGCAATGGGCCCGTTAGGCCGCGGGGCCCCAATACTAAATCGAGCCCGCGGGTTTCGAATTCCAGTCTCGGGCGGCACCGCCCTTTCGAAATCGAGCCCGCGGGTTTCGAATTCCAGTCGAGCTCGTTTGGGGGAGGAAGTTCTAAGCGAAAGCCGCATTTCGAAATCGAGCCCGAGGGTTTCGAAATCCAGTCGAGCTCGTTTGGGGGAGGAAGTCCTAAGCGAAAGCTGCATTTTCGAGTTTTCGGGTCAGGGTTTTTAAGATTTTACATGCCAAACGGTGTGGCCATTTCGAAACGGCGGTTTCGCTTGATACTTCCTCGGAAAAACGATTTCGAACGATTTCGAAACTTTCGGGTTCGATTTCGAAATGGCACTCCCGCCTAGGACTTCCGCAAACATATATTTCGAAACCTTTCTGCTTCGATTTCGAAATGGCGCTCCCGCACAGGACTTCCTCCAAAATAGAAGTCGAAACCTTTCTGCCTCGATTTCGAAATGGCGCTCCCGCACAGGACTTTCTGCAAAATGAGGTTCGGCATTTGTTCCGTTCGAACTCGAAATGGCGCTCCCGTCCAGGACTTCCTCCAAAACAGAATTCGAAACCTTCGGGTTCGATTTCGAAATGGCGCTTCCGCCCAGGACTTCCTCAATCAAGACTACGATCAGAATCACGACCGCGACCACGACCACGACGACGACGACGACGACGACGACGACGATGACGACGACGACGACGACGACGACGACGACGACGACGACGACGACGACGACGACGACGACGGCGGTTACGACTTGTAAATGCGCTCTCGCCCGAATGCCGGCCACTCCTCAGTTCTCGCCTCACCGCCGGCCAGTGTCTCGGTCTGGCCGACCGCTCTCTGGGGTGGCGCCCGGAGAGGCCCCCGGTGCGGCGCTGGCCCCCTTCCGGAGGGGGGGACCCGCCCGTTTGGGCTGCTTCCGCTTGGGCCGCCTGATCTACCCCAATTCCTATTGGAAAACCAATATGTTTTCCAATCGTTTTCCGGGTTCCGGCCTTTTCTGCAAAATCGTGTTTTTTTTGTTGTTGCGATCACAGCCCGGAGGCCGAATCCAAGAGGTAAAGCACGACTCATCCGCCCGTTTGGGCTGCTACTGCTTGGGCCGCCTGATCTACCCCATTTCCTATTGGAAAACCAATATGTTTTCCTTTAGTTTTCCGGGTTCCGGCCTGTTCTGCAAAATCGTGTTTTTTTTGTTGCGACCCCAGCCCGGAGACCGAATCCAAGAGATAAGTAAGGCACGACTCATTTTGACTAGTTCCGCTTGTGGTCACATTCTCGGCTCCTCTCCTCTCCTCCTTTGGTCAATCATCGTAGGCACGGGGGTGCTCGCGTCAAGGTGACTATCGGCACTCGGCTGCTCATAGGTTCTGTGGTACTCTCAGGCTTTGGAGTGATGCTCACGGCCGTCGTAGTGTTCATAACCAATATGATGCTCAGGCAGTGCTTAACTGAAAACACAAAACGGGTCAAAACTTTCGTAGCGCCGATGTACTGCGAAATCGCATCAAGTACAAAAAGAGCGGCTTTGGAACGACCGCTGGTTAGGAACTACACCTACGCCTCCCTTGGGCCAAGAGCAACTACTTTGCGACCAAGCTGGCTTGAAAGCTACAAGCTCTCTTTTCATCAGCGACCCTGGGCCACTGCAAGAGCATAACCCAGTGTCGGAGAAGCGAAACAACGAGAAGGCAACACACGAAATAGCGAGCTTGGAAGTGACGGCGGGAGGTTCAGTCCGATCAGCGAAGCGCGACAACACCATTTCAAAGTATAGCCGGCAGGGGCGGGAACAATCATGGGGAACGAAGGCATGCCCTGGACGCATAGGGTTGAGAAAGCACGAGGAATGACACTAGAAGTAAGACAGACAGGGAAAGTCAGCGCGGCGCCTGCACGATAACCCCCAGAGCTTCGCTTCTAAGCCTGCCGGAACAGCGGACAATATGCAACGCAATGCTCGCGCATTGCAAGTTCACATGGATCGCAGACAATGGACATTCGAATCCTGTGGAAAGAAGGGAGCTATCAAACATGTTCGTTGTCGCCGAGAGGTGGCAATACGTCATGGAATCTGCGCGCCGTGGAGTCGCGCATCGACAGTGCATGAGACCATATTGTCACACATGTGATCAAATATTTCTCTCGGTCGAGCCATTCTGCATTAAGTGTGCACCCCAAAGTTGACAACCTGGTGTAGAACGAAAGCGCGATGAGGAGATGCTCCCTCCTCCTCCTCCCCCTCCTCCCCCGTCCCCTTCTGAGGAGGGAGGGGGGGGAGGATGAGGCGGAGGAGGAGGGAGGAGGGAGGGAGGGAACAGGATGAGGTGTCCCCGCCCACCCCCACTCTCCTCGCTAGGCCAGGGACCAGCCCGCTAGGCTTAGGTCGGGCGTGTCCCCCGCAGATTTCCGACGACCAACAACAAATGCCAACACAAATACTCGAAGATGATCAAAAATTAATCAAAAAATCGTCCCCTGACTATTTTTTGAATATTTTTTGATATTCCCCCTGTAGAGGGACAAGCCCGACGTAACGCGAGGCCTCACGGTGCCGCTCTCTTGCCCCTCCCCGGAGCAGCCCGCGAGAGGCGAGCGGTCAGGGCTCCGCCTCCCCAGACCCCTCCCCGGGACTCCGCGCCCCGGCAAGCCCACTGCGGCGCCGCGTGCGGCCGTGTGGGCGAGAACCTCCAGCAGAAACGCCCCCCGAAACTTCCGAAACGAGAACGTCGTCGTCGTCGTCGTCGTCGTCGTCGTCGTCGTCGTCGTCGTCAGAGGTCGTCAGAGGTCGTCAAGGTCCTCCTTGTCGTGGTCGACGCCCCCGCCCCCTGGGCCTCCCCGGCCGACGCCAGCCGGCAGGGGCGGGTTTGGGGCCTCTCCGGCCTGTCGCGCGAGGCCCGCGCCAGCTGCGCCAGCTGGGCCACCGTCTCTGCGTCCCCCCGCCTGCACATGCGGCGCAGCGACTGGAGGGCCGTGACGGCCACGTCTGCCAGGGGCGGGGCACGCGCGAGGGAGCCGTGGCCAAATCCACCTCCCTGCTGCGGCTGCTCCGCGTGTCTCCTGGTTCCTCTCCCTCCCTCCCTCACTTCCCTCCTCCTCCTCCTCCTCTACCTCCTCTGCCTCCTCCTCCTCCTCCTCCCCTCTCTTTCTGTCTCGTGCTTCCCCCTCCTGCCCCTCCTCCTGCTGTTCACCCTGGTCCTCGTCATATTCCAGTTTGCTCAGACCGGCCGTTGAGCGCACGGGCGACCTCGGCGAGCTACTCGTCTTCTTCCTCCCCCACTTCTGCTCCTCTTCCTCCTCGTCTGCTGCCTGTCCTCTCTCATCTTCCTCCTGTTCATGCCTCCTCTTCCCTCCTTCCTCATCCATCCTTCTGTCTGTCTTCCTGCTTCCTCCCTTCAGATCCCTCCTGGCAACATCGCATTCCCCTCTTACTCTATCCTGCTCGCTCTCCATTTCGGCCCTCATTCCCCAACCTCTTTCCCCGCGTCTTTTTCCCCGGCACATTCACACATCTTCCTCGTTGCCCTACCAGGAGTACTGGTAGGGCAATCCGGGCATTTTGCTTCATACTTCCTCCCTCACCATGCGTGATGCAGAGTATTGAATATTCGCAACTGCCTGGGAGAGGGCGGGTGCTGTTCAACATGTGTGTTTTCGAATTGATGCAACTTACGTGTATCATTGACATCTCCAACTGTCACACTGATGGAGGGCAGGTGGCTTTGATCACGTGGCTCTCGCCACCATCCCAAACACATTCGTGGCACAAGGCCCCAACAACTACATACATTGATTGAGGGCAATCAATTTCAGCATGGAGCTTCCGGCTGGTACACCTCCTGGATTCATGCTCACAAAATGTGGGGAGGTCCGCAGTCACTTTCACCGATGGGACAACAATCCTGCTGGAGATGTCTCTCCCGCCCAAAACGCAATGACTTTCTGGTAGCACAGGCTGGGAATTCTGAGAGCTACACAGACGGTGGGTGCCACTTCCAACGTCAAATTCTGACATGGGGCTTAGCGTACCATGTTCATACAACTTCAGTTTCTAACATATACGAGGACGACGGCTGGCTCAAGAGGTAGAGGCGCACTCCCAATACATATCGTGGTATTGCTGGCGCGGGTTGCATCAACCGTTTACCATGCTCGGCCTGCCCTTGGTCCAGACGCGTAGCACACGACACGGCACCACTGCCACGTGCGCATCGTTCTAATGCCACGTACCCCCCACGGTGATGATGTTGAGCGGGCCGCTGGTGTATCGTTCACCATTTTCAGGTATGAGTTTGCTAGCCAGAGCAGTGCTCATTCTCACACATGGGCGGCTCACGATACGTACGACTTCTGAATACGACACATGGGCGGCTCACACATTCTCGAGCTAAGGTCAACGACTTCTGAATAGCGTGCCGCGACGGCGGCCCCTGCGACACGGTACTTGTGCATTACACGCGGATTACAAGTCGCTCCGCTCCGTGGGGCGGGAGGCTCGGACAAAAATTGGACATTGCCGCTTAAAACATGGGGACATGTATAGCGTTTCGCGCCGAAGCGTGGTGTGCCAGAACTGGTGGAGCGACACGCTAAGCCAAAGTTCCTGGCTGTATTGCCAAGCAGCGCCTGCGACGTTTGACCACGGCCCCCCCAAAACCTTCGGCAATTGTACGGACGGATGGCGACTATGTACCGACATCGTGCGCCCGCTCCGACGCGACGCATGTCTCACATCTCTTGAACCTTCTCCTTGTAGAATACAGTGCCTCTCCCTATCGAACTAATGTTTGTCTTGTTGCTTACGTTGTGCGATCGAGTGTTCCGTGGATCACTGGTGCGCGTTTCAACATACGTGGTTTTCCCCATTCAGGACCGTGAGTTCCTCACCTTGACAGCGGAAGCGTCGCCGTAAAGATAGGACCCGCACGTGCTGGCCCATGCGGCAGGGACTCGGAACGAGAGGGACCATTGCTGTATCGGCAGTGCGTACAGGGTTTGTTATGGTCCTCGATCTTTTCCACGTCTACCCCTTCTCCCCCCTCCCTCTCACACCCTTCATTCTCCTCGATCTTCCTCCATCACTTTTCCCTCCCTGTCGGACCCCGAAACGTGTCGGTAGGGCGGGATTGTCGCTTCGCCTGGGACTCCCTCATAACATATGATCTTTAAACTTGACATTTGCAACAGCTTCACGGATGGAGGGCGGATCGTCTTCAAAATTTGGCTCTCGCACGAGCGCCGAGGACATTCCTCTTCAGAGTTGGCTCTCGCCGTTGAGCCGCGCACACTCGTCCTACAAGCTTGCAACAGCTTCACGGGCAGAGGGCGGGCCGTTCTCAAGACACGAGTCTCGCCTTAGGGTCGCCACGAGCACTCGTCTCAAACGTCTGCAGGAGCTTCACGGGTGGAGAGCGGTTCTTTTTTAAAAGGTCGCTCTCGCTTGAGCGCCGGGCACAGCCGTCGCAAGAGTCTGCAATCGTTTCAAGGATTCGGATGGTTGACATGTCAGGCATTGTGCTTTGGGCGCGATGTACGACTGTCAGGCCGCAACAATCACGTTAATTCGTGGTGTCGAAGTCCCAGGCACGATGTTCTGGCACGACTCCGGATCGCCAGGACGCAACAACCGCGTCGACTCGCGGCGTTGAAGTCCCAAGTTCAAGGTTGTCAGACGACTGGTCTCCAACGGGGTGCTTCCCTGAGTGGAAATCAATCCTTGTAGGGACATGTGACAAGGGAGCTTGGAGGGAAAATCTGTTGCAACATCGTTGATGGGTCTTGGGATTACACTAGTCTTTCTCGCCCTTCTCCGTCTCCTGCTGCTGCGCCTCCTCCTGCTCCTCCTCCGTCCCTCCCTTTTTTACAAGCAGGGCCCCTGGACAACCATCACCCTGCACAGTGGTCTCGCAAGATAGCTGGAAAGTCTTGGACAGAGTCGACCGCAGGGCGGCGAACTCCATATCAAAAGCTGATCTCGCCTGCTCCCCTACACGATGCACATGTCCACCCATCACGCGTTGTGGGTGCGCCCTTCCCTCCTCCCCGCTCCCATCCCTCCGTGGGCCGCGAGTGGCCTCAATGTGCATCTTGACTGGGGGGCAGGCCAAATCTCGTCGAGCTGCCCTTCAGGGGTTGTAGACTAGGTTTTAAAAAGGCCCAGGGACACACAAACAAATAGACACAAATCCCAGGATCCCCCATACCCTGTAATATTGTCTGGGTTGGGTTTTCGTCTTCCCCGACACTTCCCATACTCTTCTATCTTTTCCCCCATTTTCCTTGGAATCTCGAGGCTCGATTGTGTCTGTGTGTGTTCCCCCCCACACCCCTTGAAGATTATCCAGTTCCGCTCGGGGCAACGACCCCGAGCGATCCGTCGCAGCCGCCGCACTGGCGAAGGCTGAGTCCGCCGCCGCCGCCGCCCTGCGCGCTGCGCCGACCCACCGCCCTGCCCCCGTGCCACGACCGCGGAACGCATGGCTCCCCAAAACTCCCCCACCGCACCCCCCAGCTCGCCCTCGTTCCTGCGTGCTCGACCCTGGGCCCCTTGCTGCCCATCGGCCCTGGGCAATCTCTGGCAATCTCCTCACGGCCGCCTGACTGTCTCCAGGGGTCGTTGGCGATCCTCCAGCGGTCTCTGGCGGTCTTCGGTGTTCGTCGCTGGTTTCTGGCGGTCTTCGGCGGCTTCCAGCTGGTCTTCGGCGCAACAGCTGGCTGGGTGCGCCCACCAAGAGGTCCATGATCGAACACATGACCATCCTCATCCCGAACATGAGGCCCCCACACAGCTGCTGGGCACGTCAGCTCCCCCCCGGGACCGGTGTGAGAGGGACTGACCAAGCCGACTGATCAGTGTACTGGTTCCTCCTGCCACCTTTTGCCGCGCCGCCCCACCCTCGACCACGTATTTTTAGCTGCTCTTCGCTTCGTAGTGAGCTCTGAGGGGAGCGCAGCTCCCCCCGACACGCAAACCACCGCCCAGTCGTGGGGAACCACCACGCGCCCAAGATGCTTCACCCCTGACGCGGTTCGCCGACGAGGCGAGATTCATCCCCTGTTGGTGGGTACTCCCTGGCGGCATTTACGAAGCGGCGCAGACAAGTGTCTGAGTGTTGAATCTTGCCCACCCCCTCGACGAGCGAGTGAGACGCCGACGCCGTCCCGAGCAGTCTCCTTCATCGCGGTCCTCCATTGCCGCGGTCGTGGCGATGCCGATCCCGAAGAGCCCGCCCTTCTCCTCGGGGTGCGCTCGGGGAAGGGGCTGGAGGCCTATCTCCTCGGGGTGGCCTCCTGATATGGGGAGCAGCTGTTGCATTGCTTTGATCGTTGTTTGGCATCTTCCTCCGAGGGAGCGCGTCCCACGGGCGCTCGCCTGGGGAACATTCGACATGGCGCTTGAAACGGGGGGGACCCCTCCCAACATTGGGCGCCGTCGAACAGAACCACGGGGACTCCCCTCCTTCCCCCCTCCCCTCCCCCCTTCCCCTTCCCCCCCTCCCCTCCCCCTCCCCTTCCCCCTCCCCTCCCCCCCCCCCCCCCCCTCCCCTCCCCCTCCCCTCCCCCCCTCCCCGAACTCCCCCCCCTCCGTCCCGGCGCAGGGGGACGGGGCTGGTCGAAGCCCCACCGCCAGCCCCGGCGCGCCGCCCGCGGCGGCGGCGGCGGCGGCGGCAGGCGGCGCCCACGCCCACGCCCACGCCCACGCCCACGCCCACGCCCACGCCCACGCCCACGCCCACGCTCACACGCACGCCCACGCCCACGCTCACACGCACGCCCACGCTCACACGCATGCCCACGCCCACACCCGCGCCCACACCCGCGCCCACGCCCACGCCCACGCCCAGGCTCACGCCCAGGCCCAGGCCCAGGCCCAGGCCCTCCCACGCCCACGCCCACGCCTGCGCCCACGCACACGCACACGCCCACTCCCGCGGCCACGCCGAAGCCCAGGCCCAGGCCCAGGCCCACGCTGGCGCCGGCGCAGGCCCGGGAGGGGGATGGGGTTGGATGCGGGTTCCGGACCCCCCCCCTCCAAGCGCCCACAGAACGCGCTCTTTCCTTCCTCCAGACCCCCGCGAGCGCTCGCTTTGTACGTCTTGTGAGGTTTTGTAAGCCCCTTCTCCGCTCCTGGGAGCTGCTCCCGAAAAGGGGGCTATCGCCCTGAGCGCTTGGGGAGAAGGGCAAGCTGAGTTGCGCCTCGTACCACATCTGACGCCCTACCTGCCCGTCCTGTCCGAGAATTCCTCCCTGCCCTGGTGCGTCTAACAATGTTCTCGGGGGCGCCCGAGAGGGGGGCCCAGGAGAGTGGGTCGCAAATCATGGCCCGAGGCCACATGCGCGGCCCGGGGGGGGGTCTAGGGGACGCATTCAAACAAGAAGAAGGGGCCATATAATTTGGGGAGATATCGTGGGCCCCGCCACGATCCCACCCCTGATTACACAGCCCTCACCCTCCTTCCGGACGCTCCTGATACACGCGGAGTCGGTCGCATAGTCGCACCTTGACCATGCGATTTGCGCTCGCGGAACATCCATCGTCATCTAGTCTCTGCAACCGCACGTGCGCTGGTTGGTGTACGGATCGGGCCTTCCAGCTCTGCCGTTTGCCTGCCCCGCTTCTGGCGAGGCAATAGCCGCAGCCCCTCCCCTACCCCCATCGAGACCTACCAACACGCTTCGAGAGGTACTTGTTTGAGAAAGTCAGTGCCCCTGTATTGCGTCTCTAGCCATAAGATCGCGCCCAGATTCGAAAACTAAGTTCGAATTTCCGTTGCACCTGCCCACGTAACCCCCTCCCCCGGCCCCCCCCCGCCCTCCAACCCTCCCTCAAACGCCCGCCCGAGTGCAGTAACGGATTCGTTCGCGAGCGGAACTAGATACAAAAGACGAGATGGGACCATGAACCGCGCGTGGAGCCTGAATGGGGAGATGATGCGCGCAATCGACCAGCGCGATGTGCTACGCAGGTAGACTTCTGTCCAGGAACGATGATGCCTGGAGGCAGAGCAGGGGAGAAGTGGGATGAGAGAGGGGCGGGGGATCGGAGGGGGAGTGGGAAGGTAAAGAGGATGATAAGGAAAGAGCAGGAGGAGGAGGGAAATGAGGAGTGAGGAGGAGGAGGAGGAGGAGGAGGAGGAGGAGGAGGAGGAGGAGGAGGAGCACGAGGCAGAGGAGGAAGATGAAAAGAACGAGGATGAAGACGACGACGATGATGCTGCTGATGATGATGGTAATGACGATGTTTTTAATGATGATGATGATGATGATGATGATGATGATGATGATGATGATGATGATGATGATGATGATGATGATAATGATAATGATAATGATAATGATAATGATGATGATGATGATGATGATGATGATGATGATGATGATGCTGATGCTGATGCTGATGATGATGATGATGATGATGATGATGATGATGATGATGATGATGATGATGATGATGATGATGATGATGATGATGATGATGATGATGGTGACGGTAATGGTGATGGTGATTGTGATGACGATGAGGAGGAGGAGGAGGAGGGGAGGAGGAGGAGGAGGAAACGGAGGAGTGAGGGGAAGGGAGCGGGCGGGTGGGCGAAGCTCGGATTGCAGGTCGCCGCTCCGTGATGCCCGGCCCACCAGGTGGCCACGGAGGCTGGGGAAGCCGGGGCGGGCGCGACCTGCGACGACGGCGGCGGCGCCGACGCCGACGGATGCCTCCTTCGGCCGAGGCCGTGACAGAGGAGCCGAAGAGAGGAGCCGCATCCCCGACGATGAGAGCTGCTTGACCGGCGCTTCTTCTTGAGGTTCGGCCCTCGGGCCCCGTGTCTCGGGGCCCCAGGGCCCTCAGAGGCACGGAGCAGGGTCGAAACACCTGCTCCCGTGGGAGGGGTCGGGTCCTCCTCCTCCTCCTCCTCCTCCTCCTCCTCCTCCTCCCCTCCTCCTCCTCCCTCCTCCTCCTCCCTCGTCCTCGTCCTCCTCCTCCTCCTCCTCCTCCTCCTCCTCCTCCTCCTCCTCCTCCTCCTCCTCCTCCTCCTCCTCCTCCTCCCCCTGGTCCCGCCTTCCTCCTCCCTCCTCCTCCCTCCTTGCCTCCTCCCTCTTACCTCCGCCTCCTGGGCCACGGGGCGGAAAAAGACGGATCGGCGGACGCGAGGCCACGGGTCCCCGAGGGAGCACCGGACCCCGGGGCCTTCCCCAGGACCAGTTCCTCGCGCCACGGGCGGCCCAGGAACCCCACATTACCTCAGGGCCCCTTTCCACAAGGAGTGCCTTCTTCCATGGCGACAAAAGGAGAGGCGAGGCGGGAATGCTGGGGTGCCACGGGTCTTCCTCGGCATCCTCGCCTTCCTCCTCCGCCTCCTGCTCGTCCTCCTCCCCGTCGTGGTCCTCCTCCTTCTCCTCTTCGCACAATTTTCTCGGCGGGTCGGCGCTGACTGGGCCCTGGAAGCGGCCGGGCTGCTGTTTCTTGACCCGCCGACTCAGTGGTTATAGTTGAACTTGGTCATGGCTAGCCTTGCCAGCCGGATGGCCTCAGAGTCGGCGTGGTAGTCGTACGTCTTCTCCAACGCCTTCTCCGGGGGCGTGTCTTTTGGGCCGTCCGAGGCTATCAGCGGCACCTCCGAGCGCTTGGGCGGGTCCGGCCACGGGATCACGTGGCCTGATAGGTGCGATATCCTTATGGCGCCACCCTCCTCGGTGAAGGTCAGGCCCACGCGCGTGGGCTTCGACAGCACAGGGTCCACGAGGGCGCAATTCGAGTAGTGGATCTTCTTCTCGATCATTTTGTAGTTGCCGTCCTCGTCCCGCAGCTTGCGCAAGTTGACGCCCTTCACCTTCAGCATGTTCCTCAGGAAGTCGACCATCAGGACCTCGCCTCTCATGCGCTTCATGCCTTCCTTGCCACAGATGACCTCGACCAAGTCGCCGGGGCGGATTTTCCAAGTCCGTATCAGCTCCTTCTTCGGCGCCAGCTTGGGCGTCCGCTGGTCGGCGCGCCGACAGTCCACCCTCGGCGCCGCGCAGCCCGGAAGCAGGCCCAGCCCGAAGCGCCCCGCGCGCTCGGCAGCGCACGGGGCGGCAGTGCGCACCGCCACCAGCATGCCGCAGGGAGCAGCGCGCCGCGTCTCGCGCGCGCGGGGGGGGGGGGGGTAGGGCGGCCCGACAGGCCCGCGGGCTGCGGACTTGAGCCCAAATGGTTACGGAACAGCAGGGCTGCTTCTTCTGTGCTAAACCACTCTCGTCACTCCTAAAACGGCCGACAAGCTGTTCACCGGAAAGATCAAACAAATGTTCACTCAAACGGCCAAGGATCCGAGAGACGTTTGGAACTGGTTCGAAAAAGGCTCGGATCCAGCAAAGAGCTGCGATCTGGACCAAGCCCTCACCAGGGGAACCGAAGACGGCAAAACTTGCGGCGCTGGAAACGTCAGCAAAAACGGCGCAGGGAGATGGAACAAATACTGAACACACAAGGCATGTACAAAAGCACTGCCTGTTCAAGGGCCCACTAAAGGGTCGGCGGAATTCCGAAATGATCCCACACGGACGAGGGGCGAGATCGGCGGAGGGGGCCCCGGTGAGACAGCACGCGGCCAGGACTGGACTACGGCGGGTGCCGAGGCGGGAGCACACCGCTCCGAAGGACCAGCAACGCAAGGTACAGGCAGAGAATTCACATCCAATCCCAGCCATTGTGGTAGCATCTGGCGGCGCGCAAAAGGGGGTATGGGGGAGGGGGGAAGGCTTCTTAGAAACACCCCTGCTCCTTAGAAGGCCTCGGCCTTACGTCTATAGAGAAGGCCCGCGCCTTCTAAGACGCAGGGGTGCTTCTGAGAAGCCTCCCCCCCTCCCCATACGCCCCCCCCCCTCTGCGCGCCGCCAAGGCATCGTGCAAGAGACCTGCTTAAGGGGGGGCTTCGGACGCGGCGGGGCTGTGAGGGCCGGCTCCAAACCAGCTGCCTCTGAGGAAAGGGCACAAAGATTGGATCCGGGGCTGGCCCCGGAACAAAAAAGGCGACATCCTCAGGGAAACAACGGCGCAAGAACAAGCAACAGACACGGCAAAACGGAATCGGGAACAGAAATACGTAGCCAGCCGTTACCAGGGCCCACTGAGGTGGGAGATAACAATATGCCGGAGGGTCGTAAGCCCTCACCCAAGCTTTCAGGGGAGCGGGTAGACAGACAGACATACAGACAGACAAACCGACAGACAGACAGACAGACAGACAGACAGGCAGGCAGATAGACAGACAGACAGAAAGACTGCCAAACAGCAAGACAGAAGCCGTGCGCGTCAGTGGTGCGTTGGCAATTTGGCGAATCGAATATGACTGGGTGAAACCACGAGCGTCACAAGCATAGCACCGGAGGAGGAGCAAGAGGATTATAAGCAACACGCAATTCTGATTCAGAAACCCAACGGATCTTGGGAACACCACCTGAGCGACCACACAGAAGCTGTCAGCAGGCATCCATATTGAGCAAGTGAATGAAGCAAAGAAGGGGAACATACAGGGCGTGGGGAGGGAGGGCGTAGTGGGGAGAGGAGGACTGGATATGACCCCCGTGCTCATGAGGTACAGGCTGGGCGGGATGACCCCATCCCCACGCGGAGGCGCAGGGTTCTCGTCTTCCAGGCGGCCGAGGCCGTACCCGAGAGGGGCCCCGACGGGGGCCCGAGAAGGGCCGAGACGGCTCGAGAGGGGCCCAGGATGACACAAGAGGGCTCCCAGGAGGCCCCGAAGCAGCCAATGAGAGCGCCAGCACGGGCCACGAAGGCTCCCAGGCCGCCCCCTGGGGCCCCCCAAGACGGCCCAGAGGGGCCCGAGACGGCCTGGGTCCAGAGTGGACCCAACAGGGCCCCCTGGACAGTTTCCCAGTGGCCCTGACATAGACAACTGGCGCTCCGTTTTTGTTCGATGCGTGGGCCCCTGGAGGTCTGGACCTCTTCCCCAGGACCCATGTTTCGCCCTTCTCACCTTTTTCAACGGCCCAAAGGCCCATTGAGGGCCCCCAGAGGCAGACAATGGCCCCAAACCGGCCACTCCTAATCTTTCGGAGCCTCGGATCTCTGGGAACGGCCCCGAGGCTCATGTTGCTCCCATCGTACTCAAGTGCCACATCCCAGAGATCACTTCGAGCGCCCAGAAAAGTACCGAAACGGTGCCGAACGAGTATCGCTGCCCAGGGCCCGACACGCGAAAACCCTCCAGCTTCTACATCTTCGTGGTGCCCGAAATTTTCTTCCTGATGGCCAAGGCTAAAAAAAGAGGGCTGGAGCGTCCTAACCCGAGGCCTGCCCCGTGCTCCTGCCACGGCCCCCCGAGGGGGCCAGGAGGCGCGGCGCGGCGCCTCCTGGGGAGCAGGACCTCCGCCAGCGCCACCCGCCCGCGCCGCCCAGGCCCGGGCTGGATGGGGGCGGGGGCAGCAATAGAGTGCCGCTGCCGGTCGTATTGGGGGGGTCACAAATGGGGGGGTCAGAAAAGGTCCCCTTTCGTGCCCCTTTCGGGCCCCTCCAGAGCCCCAGGGGGCTCGTTTAGGTACCGTTTGGGTACCTTTTCGAACCACCCTCGCCACCCCCCCATTTATGACCCCCTCATTACGCAGCGCCCAATCGTATGGCAGAGTGCCGCTGCCGGGCGCATATGGCTCTTCCCTGGGCTATTCGCCCCTGCTTTCGCCCCGAGCAGAGGCCCGCAGCAGCTTGTTGATTCTGAGCAGGGCTCGCCGTCGGCGCCGCCGCGGTCGCTGTCCATCCGAGACAGGCTCGCCTGCCCAACTTCGGCCGCTGGCGGTTTTGGACAAAATGTCTTGTTGGGCACAAGGTTCCTCCCCCAGGGAGCCGAGGCTCTGAACAAATTGGAGCGGCCAACGGCCAACTGTTTTGGCCATTCTCGACCTCTGGTGCCCTCGACCGCGGGACCGTCGAACGACTGCTCGGGATGGAAAGCCAGCCAGGGAAGTGGTCCAAACCTCCTTCGGGGGCCACGCATCGAAAAACAGATGGAGCGCCAGATGTCTGGATCTGGGAGGAAAAAGGGAGATCCACCCTCCCCCTCTATCCCCTTCTCTCCTTTCGTCCCCACCTCCGCTCTCAGGGGAGATGTGGGGAAGAAGGAGGGGGGGGGGCGGGCGAGGGAGGGAGGGCAGGAACGCAGGGAGGGTGTCGAGGAGGGGGGACCTCACCAGAGCTGGGGCCGATGTGATGCCGTCCAGCCCGCGGCCCCACGCAAGTCCCGACCAACTCCTACAAGGGCTTTCACGGCCCCCATGGGGGCCCGGAGCCGGCCCCCGAGGGCCAAATCGAGAGGAAGTCGCGATCGAGATCGAGATCGAGATCGATCGATCGAGAGAAGGGCCGAGATCGATCGAGATCGAGGAGAGGCGAGGAGAAGGTCGTGATCTGGGCCCCTTGGGGAGGGACGGGCTCCCGGGGGGGCGGGGGGGGCACCGGTCCCGGCATCGGCGGCCGTCGCCGAAGAGATCGGAGGTCGGCCCCCGAGGGCGAGACCGCACGCGCTTGGGCGGGTGGGCCATCGGGCCCCTCCTCCTCCTCCGCCTCCCGCTCCCCCTCCTCCTCCTCCCCTCCTCCTCCTCCTCCTCCTCCTCCTCCTCCTCCTCCTCCTCCTCCTCCCGCTCCTCTCGGCGATCCAGAGGTGATTCGGGGCCGATCTGCACCTGTGGGGGGGGGGTTCGGACCGGTAGTGACCCCCCCCCCTTTTCATGATGAACTGGGGGGGGGGTTCGAACCGGTAGTGACCCCCCCGGTTTTCTGGAGGGGGGGGAGGGTGGGAGGGGTTCGAACCGGTAGTGACCCCCCCCGGTTTTCCGCTAGCAGCGGTAGAACACGCTCTTTCGCACCTATCCCACCCTCCCCTTGCGCTGCCCTTGAGGAGAGTCCCTCGGGCCTCTGGCAGCCGTTCGCGGGACGAGCCCGGCGCCCCCGAGACGCCCTCGGTGAGGCGCCGCCCGCTGGATGCACCCCGAGGCTGGCAGACCTGTGGGCACGGGCGAAAACCCCCGAAGACCTCGAGCTCCGAACTCCCCTGACATCCGTCGATCATGGTTTCTTCAATGCGAGGGCTCAGAGGCCCCGACCGCCTCCCCCCAGCCAATGTTGCGCCCAGGACCCAGATCTGACGGCCCCGGGCCCCGAGACAACCTGCCCCCGTGGGCCGAGCTCGAAGAACAGCTTCCGAATGGGAGAAATCAGATCGCCGGACATCTGCGGACGAACCTCGAGCCTATCCCCGCATCCCCGCGCCCGCAGGGGAAACGAGCCTCTGCTGGCCGCACCCAGCCGCTTTCAAGTTGCCAGGCCGCGGCGCAGCGCAGAGAGGAGAAAGACACCGAGGAGGAGAGACTACGGGGAGGGACGCGTGCCCTCTGGCCACCGCGAGATGCGGAAAGACGTCCTGGCTCGCCCCACGGGCATCGCAGCTCGGCCAGGCACCGCCGGGAGAGCCCAAACACCTGGCGCTCCCTCTTTCCCAACCATCATGTGGTGTTCGGTCCTCGTTTTGAAGAGAGAGCCCCGCGTTCACTCCTCCCGCTGCCCCCTCCCTCCTCCTTCCTCCCTAGCGCCCAGTGCATCATTTCGTGGCAGCTCCACCGAAGGCCCCAGTGGCAGGGTTCGCAAGGCGGCCCCGCCCCATTTCGGAACAACCTTCGAAAGTTTCGTGGCGCCATAGAGAGCTCCACCGAAGGCCCCAGTGACAGAGTTCGCATGGCGGCCCCGCCTCATTTCGGCGCACCCCTCCCACGTTTCGTGGCTCCATCGGGAGTCCACCGGAGGCCCCAGTGGCAGGGTTCGCATGGCGGCCCCGCCCTATTTCGGCGCACCCCTCAACCGCTTAGTGGGCAGGGTTCGCATGGCGGTCCCGCCCGATTTCGGCGCACCCCTCACACGTTTCGTGGCCCCATAGGGAACTCCACCGAAAGCTGTATTCATGATGCGGTACCCCCACTTGCAGATGGTTGGGCCTTTCGCCAATATAATTTTGATGCGAGGAGGACCACTCCCCTGCAGGGCCGGTGCTTCATCCTGGTCGTCTTCTGGCAGTCCTGGGGCCCGTGAAGGCCCCCGGAGGCCGAACAA